GAGGTGCGGGGCAGGCGCTGGCAGCCGCGGTGCTTCAGAGCCTGTTCTCTCACCACCGCCCCTTCCTTCCCCGTATACTAAATTCAGAGATTTCAGTAAAAGTAAGAGCCAGGTTTGCTGACTCCCTCTGCAGAAAACACGGAGGCGCGGGGGAATCAAAGGCTTTTGCAGCAGGCAGGCCTTTTTTTGGCAGGAGATGCAGTCCCTTCGGAGATCAGTTGTCTTTTCCCAAACCGCGGGAGAGATTTGTTTCCTATTTGGAGCCGAGTGCTGAAATCCCGCAGGCCCAATGTTTCGGGGGCCGAAGCAGAGCCCCTGACAGCCCAGAAACCTCAGGCTGCTCCGGCACAGAAAGCTGCTGGTGCCGCGGCTGGTCCCAGGGCTCACCGCAGCCCGGCAGAGCAGGATGCTCATGGGGGCACACAGGGTGGGGGGGGCGATGCCAGAGGGTGCTGGCCCCCCTGCAGCCCCCCGCAGCCGGTACCAAGGCCACGCTCCCCGAGCAGGAGCAGGCACCCCTCAATGCCCCCTTGGTGGCCCGGGGCAGGCAGTGCCCGTGGCCACAGGAGCCCTCCAGCAGGCAGCTGGGGCTGGCAGTGATGCCCAGAGGGATGCGGGCAGCAGGGTGGCACAGGGCATAACGGGGTGGGGTGAGGAAATGCATGCAGGACCTCCTCCTCCTCTGTGCCCCAGCGTGCCTGTCCCCGGGTGCTGCCTGATGCTAAAAGCCCCCAGCCGCCTCGTGGCATCTCCTACCTGAGCCCCCAGTTCAAAGGAGGCTGGGGAAGAGGCTGAGGAAGGGTCCCTGCCTTCTTCCAGTGAATGCTTTTGAGGGACCCAGGGTTTCCTCAGGCAGCAAAGAGGCCACAGGCACCGGGATTATCGATGGAGCCCATCAGTGGCAGCCTGAGCCCAGCGCGGGGGTCCAGCAGCACCGGGAGCCTGGCTCCTCGGGGGCCCGCTCGTCGGCAGCTGGCGGGACCCGCCGGAGGAAAGGCACCTTCAGGCAAAGCTCTCCCGAAAGGGCAAACCATCACGCACTGTGCAGCGAGCCCCAAGGGATGCTGCGAGCAGAACCACGGCCATCCCCGCAGCTGCTCAGCTGGGTTGGCATGACGCTGGGTGGAGGACAGCCCCACGGGAACATCTGGAGAACCTCTGGGGAAGGGAAGCACCCAGCAGGGCAGAGCCCTGTCCGGCCCAACGGCTGCGGTGGGTCAGGAAGG